AAAAAAAAAAAAAAAAAAAAACCCCCCCCCCCGACAACACAGACGCCGAGAGTGGGTGTAAAACGAGAAACAGCAAGAAAATACAGGAATCTCACCCCGCCATAAAAGGCGTGGGAATAACCGGGGAAGGCCTGTGTGAATAGAGTACAGAGTAATGAAGAAAAAAAAAACAGGAAACGGAAAAGGGAGCCGTGCTAGGAGGTTTCATGACAGACCCAAATAGGCTTCAGTTGACTGCCTATGGATACGAGCGACGGATGCACAACTAGAGCAGAGAACGCAAGTGTAGAAGAGTCTCTGGCACCACCACCGCGAGGCCGTCATCCAAACCCAATCGAGACTTCATGGCGCGCCCTGTCCCGTGAACCGGGTTTCCCGATTATGCCGCATCTCCCCAGTGATGCGCCTTTGAAGAACGAACAGAAACCCAGCGTCAACAATCCCCTCCCCTCCATCATCAGCCAGTCTTTGTAATCAGAAAATGAGAGAAAAGAGTAGCCAAGGGCTAGACAGCGCTGTATCCACCCCTGCTCCCGCCTCCCTGGATCGTTTGGAATAGCCTCCTGACCCAGTCTTGGAGGAGGTAGGGTACGTCGCGGATGGTGTCGCCGTGGGGGAGCAGGTCCCAGCCACGGGCGCCATAGCGGGTGTAGTTCAGCCACGAGCCGAAGATGAGATATGCGGCCGCGCCGAGAAACACGCTAAGGGGTTTGTTTTTCAGTTTAGCCAGTGATCATGGGGGGGGGATTCAGACGAGAAAAAAAAGGGGGAGAAGGCACCCACAGTATGACTATCCACGTAAAGAAGCCCCAGTGCTTGCTATCGTCATTGGCACCACCACCTCCACCTCCGGACCTCTTCTCGCAGGCGTGTTTTGTGTACCACGTCAGCTTCAGGGCGTCGGCACTGCCGGGGTCCTCCTCGGACGGCCCGTAGCTCTCCCAGATCAGGGCCGCGTCGGGCTTCTTGATCTGAACGGGCACCTGCTTGTCCTTGTTCTTGTCGTCGCCGTCGGCACGGGCGACGTGTGGCGCCGCTGCGGTCGGCGCGGCGGTGACGGTGGCGGTCTTGCTGGCGGTCGGCTTCTCGGCCGGAGAGGGCTTGGACAGGTCCTTGTCCGGGTCGATCTCGCCCTCGGTCCCCTCGACCGTGTCCTTGCACAGCAGCTCCACGACGGCCTTTTGCTTCCGGTCCTGGAACTGGCCGCCCTGCAGCACGATCCGGACGCCCTCCTTCCCCTTGTCCTTGCCGCTCGCCGACGTGCTCAGGCGCGTGAAGGACTCGTCGAGCGCGCGGCCCTCGGCGGTGCCCGCGATGACGCGGTGCTCGAGCGGGACGTCGGCCTTGGAGTCGGGGTCGATGTGGTGCCACATTCCGCAGGCTGTAGGTGAGGAAGGGATTGGGGAGGAGCGTTAGCGGGACTGGCCCGTTGATCAAAGAGAGGATGAAAAACGGGGAGCGACGGTAAGAAACAGAGAGAGAGAGAGGTAGAGTAGGGGGTCTTGGCTTACCCCAAGTGCCGTCTGGACACCCCTTCTTGCCACCTTCGGGGACCTTGAGGGGACCGCACAGGTCGAGCGTGTAGGTTACGTTGGTGAAGCCCTCGGCGTGCAGGACGCTGGTGACGACGCTGTGCGGCCCCTTGAGGGCCGACAGGTCGAACTCGTGGTTGTCGGCCTGGACGTGGCTGCAGTCCATGGCGGCCGCGACGCCGCTCGCCGCCGCCAGGCACAGCAGCAAGCTCGCCGCCGCCGTCGCCCTGGGCGGTGGCCTCGGCCTCGCGCTCGAGCGTGTTTCGTGGGCGGCGGTTGCCATGTTTGCTAGGCGACCGGATCGCGAGCTCGGAGGCGATGACGACGACGGCGGTGGCAGCACCAGAAGCTGCATGGGGATCTAGGGAGGGGATCTCGTCGAAAGGAGGAACGGGGTCGGATAGGGCCGGACTATGGACTATGAACTAATCGGGTATCGGGTATGTGAGGGCAGCCAGCTGCGTGCGGTCTGAAGCGCGGGATAGAATACAGCGTGGAGACGCGAGGTCGCAGCCCGGAGACGGCAGGCGGATTCCCAAAGAGGCCAAGCCGTTGAAATTCCGTCATCAGCTCCAGCCGAGAGCTTCCCGCCCAACGCCCCATCTGACCCACAGGACCTACTTGGTGCTTATGTCATCAGGCACGTGCACAACACAGCGAACAGAGGACTGAACCATCAAATGGGTCCATGATGCCAAGAAACTCGCAGATGAGGAGGCTTGTTCACATTAGATTTCAAGACAAATGCATATTTACTCCCATCCCCAGCACCCAAGGTAGCTGCTCTGACCTCATGCACCACCCTGTCCTCGATTATTGCTTCTCGCTCCCCGGCTTCTTCCTCAGATCCTCATCCGACGAGGACAGCCGGGCAACCTCCTCAATGTGCTCGCCGCCGGCCGAGGCGCCCGTCACCGGTGCCAGTCCATTGTCGTCGCCAGTCTTCTTTGGGTACGTGGGAGGCGCGTTGTCGCCCTTGGTCTTGACCAGCATGTCCTCTGCCGTGATGTGCGCGACCGCCGCACTGTCGCCGTCGAACAGCTCCGCCATGGTCTCGAGCGTGCGGCCTCGGGTCTCCGGGTAGGTGAAGTACACGCTGAGCACAAAGGCCACCAGCACCGCGACGAAGACAATGTAGTACTTCCACGAGATGGCATCGAGTGCGATGGGGTTGACAAACGTGTTGAAGAAGAGCACGAAGAGTGCCGTGACCAAGGTCACCGAAAGACCACGCGCGCGCAGGGCATACGGCCAGATCTCGACTGGGTACGACACCAGGAGCGGCGTGAGGGCAATGTCGTAGCCGAGGAAGTAGACGAACAGGAACGGGACGACGGCAAGGCCGGTAGGCGTGTGTTTCGTCTCGGCGAAGCTGCCCGAGAGACCGGTAATGATGATGTATGACACCAACATGATGATACCCTGTGTCTAGTGGTTAGCCAACGAGCCAACGAGCCAAGGCAGGTTCGTGACGGGGGCACGACTCCATCATGTGGGCAGTACTTTGGGCAGTACTTACACTGGCCAGGAACAGGGGCCTGCGGCCGATACGGTCGATGAGGAAGGCGGCACCCGACGACCAAAACAGGTTCCAGACTTGCATCAGGGCCGAGATGAGCGTCTGCTCGGTAACGCCTCTGATACCGACCGAATCGAGCACAAGGGCCAGGTAGTAGCTAACAACGCCGTTGCCCACAAACTGGGAGAAGACGCCGATGGAGATGGAGATCCATAGCCTGTGCCTATTGCCGGGCGTGGACCAGAGGTCGCTCCAAGAAGTTTTCTCCTTGGCCTCGCGCTCGGCCGCGATGGTCTGCTCGATCTCGGCCATCTCGAAGACGATGAGCGGATGGTCCACGTCGGCCTCGGAGCCGATGTGCGACCTTGCCAGGTTGCGTCGAGCCTCGTCCACCCGGCCAACCGACACCAGCCAGCGCGGCGACTCATCGAGCATTAAGAGGGATGGGATGATCAGCGCGGGCAGCAACGCCATCAGCCCCGAGGGGATCCGCCAGGCCGCCGAGGTCTCGAGGTTGCGCGTGCCGAAGGTGGCCCAGGCCGCGATCACGGCGCCGACGTACCAGCCGCAGTTGTCTAGAAGCAGGCGGATTTCCCGTCAGTTTTTTCGACACTCGACCTTGAGTGATAAAAGGAAGGAAAGAGGAGAGTAGAGAACTTACACAAGTTCGAGATGACGGCGCGCTCAGTTGGATACGCGACCTCGGCGATGAGGAGCGGCCCGCCGAGGGACAGGCCCTGCGACAAACCCATCAGGAGGCGACCGGCGATGAAGGTGCCCTCGTTGGGCGCCGCTGCTTGCACCGCGGTGCCAATAAAGGCGACGAAGACGCTGGCCCAGATGCCGGGCTTGCGCCCCCACTTGTTGCTGATCATGGCCGCCACGGGGAAGGTGATGGCGGCACCCAGCGAGTAGATGGCGTTGATGAAGCCCAGCCAAGCACCCTTCGGCTCCGACATGAAGGTGCGCCACTGCGGCAGCGCCAGCAGGCCGTTCATAATGCTGCCATCAAAGCCATTGGAGCTCGTCAGGAACATGAGCAGGATAAGGCAGATGTTGAGTTTCAGGTGTTCTGGCTTCTGCCACCACTTCTTGCCATCCTTGGGCAACACCCGCGCGAGCTCGTGCCCGACCGACCTCTCCTGGCCACCCATGGCTATTGCGTGTGTGCTACTATCCTTGGCTCCTTTCTTGCTGGATGGGTGGGCTTGCTGAGTCCTGATGGGTGGGAAGGGAAGGGAGCCAGTGAAGAGAAGGTGTCACCAAGATGTAGGCTGTCAGGAACCTGCGGCCAGGCCGGTCCCTATATACGAGACGAAATCATGGGATCAACATGGCCACCTCAGGGATACACCCAGCTGTCCAGCCCACACGCGATCTTGTCGGCTCGATCCCTGTGATCTTCTCCATGGGGTTCGGCTACGCGATGGCCGTGGGGCTCCGCTCACAAAAGGGGCCCCGGGAGTGGCCTTGGTCGCAAAAGGTGGGAGCATGGTAGCAGGGGGGGGTTTCGATAGAGGAAAGCCGCCGAGGAAATGACCGGGCGTTTACCGGTTGGCACTCTGGAGCGGGCACAAACCAAGCATGGGGCGACTGCGACGCTCCAGCCAGCTCGTTGGAAAATGCGGAGGAAGCGAGGGTCGTGGGGAGACGCGCCTCCCGAAAGGTCCCCGACCTTTGCCTCCACCTCGGCCATGCTTCTCACTTGTGGCCCCCGGAAGACACGGACGAGGTTCCTCATAATTCTCTGCACCTTGGATGCTTGGCTGAATCATGGTGGACACGGTCAACTTTCCGTGCCCTGCGAGGGGGGGAGAGAAACAACGGGGTCGGACGAAGAAAAGCAGGCAAGGATCCGGGGGGGCATGGCTGGGGTATGCGGAGGCGGCACCGAGCATTATGCGTGGGGAGGGATCGAGCCAGTGCATGGTGATGCCAACGCTCACTGTGGGTAAGTAGGTGGTACCTAGGTACCTACCTCTGGGTAGGGATCCAAGATAGCACCTGGGAGGTACTGTGTAGGATAGGACGACAAGTGCTAGGTGCCTTTTCTCCGTCGTGACTGCCGTCTCTCATCCTTTCACGGACAGCACTTCACAGCCCGAGAGCGGGTCGTGTGTCTGCCTCTGCGACGCTGCGGCGTCCCCACGACTCGCGTGCAGGACCCACCGCCCAGCAGAGATCGGCCACTGAGATGATGTTGGTAAGGAGGTCAATGGCTTGTCGCTCGGGCAAAGTCCGGTATAATAGCCTTGCTTCTCCTCCTCCTCCCCAGCCAAGCCCTCGGCATTCCCGTCTTCTTGTTCGAACCAGATGCTTTTTTTTTTTTTTTGCTGTTGGGGAAGACGAGGAGGTGGAAGGGGTCGGCAGATGGCCCTCTGCCCACACCACATGGGCACGCATACCACGACGTGGCCGACCTTGCCTAGTAGCGAGTTGAGGTGCTGTAGAGGGCGGTTCTTTTTACTTTTACTTTTATTTTTTATCTTTTATTAGAGGGCGGTTACGTTTGTGCGACTTGAAAAATCGACATGACGGGCCGCTCCTCTAGCGATCTTTTAACGTCCAAACAAAGCCGCAAAATTCAGGGTTCATGTTCATGGTTCCTCTCAACTGCCGTCGACAAGGGGGGCGCGCACCCAAGTTGGAAGAGATTGGGCCAATTTCAGGCTCGGCCGTGGTGGAGCTAATCCCTACAAGCCATGGGTCCCTTCCATTTACCCCAGCCCTAAGAGGAAAAAGACGAGTGCAAAATGGAGGTTGACAAAAACTTGGGGTAAGCTCAAGTGACGGGGGGAAAACTCGCGTGTGGGGAAGGGGGCTGGGGAGACAACGGGATGGGCAGGGACGAGAAAAAAAAAAAGGGGAGGAGGGACCAAGATGTCCATGTTTGGTCGAGATTACACACAGAATAGCCAGCCAAGCCTCTAAACGCAAGGCTACTGACTTTCTGACAGGTCGCTTCAGATGGACAAAGTCCGAGGTTGTCTAGGGAGGGGGGCGTGCCACGAGGCCATGGTGCAAGCCGCGATGCTGCCGGATTAGGCACGCGTCCTGGGCTGCCACCGACCATGCTGACTGTTTGATGACATATTTGGGAAAACTCGAGGCCCCGAACGGCATGACCGAGGATTCGGGAGGGTTTTTTTTTTNTT